TTTCTGATTTATGATAGCCTTCAAGTGAAACACCTGCTAACTTGTCCTTTGTTCCTACCTTGGTTGAATAACAGAATACCTTGACTTGCTAAATTTAAACTTGGCAGCCAACCCTTGTTGTTGTGTGCTATCAAGTTCACAGCTACTGTTTACCAAATACTCAATGTGTCTTATGTCCTGAGCCTCTGTGTGTTTAGGAATAAGGAGTAAGTTCATTTGAATGTTGCAAGGCTTCATGTGTTCTCTTTCACATGGCACAGTTATACTACTTTAACTGGCATAGTTACATTGTACTGAATATTACCTGTGGAACTCATCTGCCACAAGAAGTGGAACTCACTGCTCCAAGATGTATTGATGACCTGTCACTTTGATGGATTAAAAGAGGATTCTGCCAGTTCATGTTTGGTTAGGACCATGAAAGGCATGGAAGTCAGTATAACTATCTATCATCCCCTAGCATCAGAAACAGGATACGTGGCTACAAATATGGCAACTGTAGTGGCAATTCATATCCTGCTTATTATGAACTGATTGACCATTTTGGAAACACTATGGCCCCTTCTATTTATTTATTTATTATTTATTTATTTACTGCGCTTATATACCGCAATTCTCAGCCCAAGGGCGACTTCTACACTGCCATATAAAATCCAGATTATTTGCTTTGAACTGGATTATATTGCAGTGTAGACTCATACAATCCATTTCAAATCAGATAATCTGCTTTGATAATCTGGATTATATGGCATTATAGAAGCGGCCTAAAATGGGCTAGATCAGCATTTAGCCTGGTTATAACAGGGCTTTTCTTTTGTTTCTGTAGTATTAACGTTTATATCAGATCAACAGGGTTTTCATCTTGCTTTTCCCTGAGGTTGATCAGGGAGGCTTACAAGATTTTTTCCGTTATCCTGCAGAACCCTTTGAGGCTTACCTAGGGCTTGTGTACATGCACCAAATAGCCTACACTGACTGTGTCATTCCCCCAGGCTAACTTTGTGACTTATCTCCTTATTGTGAGGATTCATTGGGTTAACCCAGTTTTCTTCTTCTTTAAGGAAAAATCAAGAGATACTATGAAGTTTGGCTGAAACTCTAAAGCAGCCTTACAGTTCGGGAACAGAGACTTGATCTGATGCTAACTGTTTCACTGTTCTGTTCTTCTGCTGCGGCCCCAATTCCTCTAATATTGTTAATAGGGACAGGGACAGTAAAGCAAGCATCTATTTGGGCCAAAGGGGTCTTAGCCTAGTTAATCCATGTACAGTCCACCCCATGACTGTTGCAGTTTGGGGAGTGAGTGTGTGGTATCCTGTGAGGCCAGTCCGAAGCGTCTCTGCTCCAAACTGGCCCCGTGATATGCATCCAGTGTAAATAACCCTCTAATCGGCTTCACAGTTAACTGTGGATTGAAACACAGATGTCCTTGGTCTTAACAATGTGCATTTACTCACCCACATTGACTGTCAAAGGATAATTTAAGATCTGTATTCAGGAGCAGGTTGTTTTCATTTCTTGAGAAATGTATACGTGGGCTCCTGGTAGTCACATTAACTGCTTTTGCATGAAAATTCAATGGTGGTAACTTATAATAAGTGTATCTGTCATGGGGAAAAGACATAAGAACTATGATTATCTCATGCCAGTAGAAGCCCTGAGTATATTGATCCTCTGACATTTTCTGACACTTGAGTTCTGTCATCCCATTTTATATTGCATGCACCTTCTGACTTAGATGCGGCTTTTGAAAGTACATTGTTACATCTTCTGAAGACAGCAGGACAAATTGCTCTGACCCGCTCTTAATATCATCTGATTAAATACAAAGAGCTTCTTATCTCCACCTTTCCACTTTGAGAGCCAGCCAATGTTGTGGGCAAGGGGTGTGCTATTACCTGATACTTCTGTAATTTCTGTACTTTCAAATAATCTTGCAAGCAAATATTTTTCCTGTCTTAAAAAAAAGGGAGAGGAGATGGGGGCTCGTAACAGGTATTCACCCTGTGTTTCTAGTGGCACAAGAAAGATCCAAATTGTATTACTGGAAAAAGTAAATACATGTTTAAAAGGGGAATTTTGTCACAGAAATTTGCTCTTTTCATTTTATAAATCAGGAATTTATAATAGAAATCATTCATGCACACATAACTGCACCAGTGTGAAAATACGCAATAGCATATTTTGGAAATTAAGGTAAATCATGAACAATTATTGTTATAGTCATTTAAATTCCACTTTTTCTTTCCACAAAGGAGACTTAAAGCAGCTTGCATTGTGATATCTTTGATACGAGGAGGAGGAGGAGGAGTAGCTGTACTAAAACAGTAGTAGTTACACTGATTGAACATTTATATAGTCATCCACAAAGACCCAACAATTCTTAGAGATGTTTCCCATAGATTTTTTAAAAATACTTTTATTCACAGTTTTTCTATTCATGTAGGTATCCTGTGCCACTAACCCCAGGATAAGTGTAGGGACTACTGTAGATCATACATTCATATATTATATATGATCAGTTTTTAGGTTGTGTCCAAAAAGTTTGTTAATCATATGCTTGACTTGTTAATCATGTGCTTCAATCATACTTGACTGTTAATTATGGCTTGGAAATCAGTGGTTTAAGTGGATGACTTAAAGTGAGACTTGGGCTAATTTTGTTTTGAACCAATTTGTATTACATGTGAAAACAACAAACAATTTTGTTCCCTCTTAAAAATGAACAACTTTATTTTGGTGTAAATATTAATGGACCACCATTCATTTTATCAGATGAAATTTATTTAGACATCTTTGTAGGAAACAGTGAGGTGAGAAGACAGTGAAATGCCAAAGATACAGAACATGTTTACCTTAATTCTGGCCATTCGTTTTGGATTCCACTGATGAGAAGCTACTAGGCCTATTTTTCAACATTATGTGCATGTCTAGAGCAATAGCTTTGGGTTTATAAAAAGATAATTTATTTAGATATTAGCATATGAGAGGATCAAAGATGATTAGAAGCTTCCGTAAGCTTAATTTCGAATTGGCTTATTACTTCTGGACTTGGTTGGTAAGGAATATTAGGGCTCAAAAAACCATCACCTTTTCTCTTTGTATGTTCATGTGAGTGTGCATATTATTGCCCCTTGAAGATGCACATCCATAAAAAACTACAATGAAGAGCAGGAGATGGATTTTAATCAGACTGGATCCATCCCGTTAAGGATGGAAGAAAGAATATATTTCCATGTTCATTTTGCATATGTTTGTTCATAAGTCTGCATTAATGTTTGATTTTAAATCCACGTGAAAATTTGCATTTAAATAAGGATTTCAGTGCCTATTTCCTCTCAAAATATGTATTCCAAAACATATTGTTATTTCAAAAGACAGATTTTTAAATGCACATTAAGATGATAATAGCATCTGAAGTTTCTCTGTGAAAGCTACTGGAAGATTAAATCTTCAGTCACCTATTAATTTGGGAGGTGCATACCTGGTCACCTTGTGCTGGAATTCACAAATGTTACATTGCCAGGCATATTAAACAGCAGGAGCATACAACACTTGAAAGAATCAATATAAGTTGACACCAGTAGCTGCCTGATGGAAGGCTGCTTGCTCTAGCGGCCTGATCATATAAACATAATTTTAAGCTAAAACGTAATTAAGATCCAGGGCTGAACTGCATGTGGGCCTCCTGATGTTCTTGAACTGCAAGTCCCAGCAGTCTTAGCCAGGTTAGCCAGTGGAGAGGACTACTAGGAACAGCTTTTAAAGGGCTATACTTTACCCCTTCTCAGTATGTAACTTGATGTGGAAACATTAAGTGGAATATTTTCACATGCAAGTTTGCTACACAGAATTGGCTATGTGGAGATATTCATTTGACATTTCAGGTTTTGGAGAAAATTGAGCTTCCTAGTTATCTACAGGTGATAATTTAAAGCAGATTCAATTTATGTATCAATTTGGGCAAATACACCTCCAATCTGATTTTTCCATACGACATCTCATTCCCAATGTTGTTGCCACTATTTCCATTCTTGTTGATATTTATGCATGTAGGGTGAGACCCACTTCCATTTTTGTAAGACTGTTTCTGCTTAATTACCTAGGAAAGAAAACATTTCCTCCAAAATCAGATGGGCAAAGTGTGACCTTATAGACCACATGCAGGGCCCAGCTTGACCTCCAGTGATCCCCACTATTTTCATTTTTTCACTTTTCAAAGGTCTTTGAAAAATTTTTGCATATCAATCACTCCTAGGTTTGGGAAAACCACCCATCTAGGTGTAAAATAATTTTGAAAACATGGTGGCATTGTTCCTTGTGCCCCCAAGAAGATGGATTAAGTATTGGGACAATTCTCAGCCTTCTGTCTTCAAGAATTTTCCCACCCAGCTTGAAAATAAGTGAAATAGTGAACCATAGCGACAGTGATAATCTCATCAAGGAAATAGTAGACAGGTTAAGGTCCAAAGAGTTATACGTCTTCAAGAATTTTGGCATGAAATTCTTGCCCCTGTCAGAGGGGCTCATAATGACTGAGAGCTTCCCCATGCATAGATGAATAATATTTTAGCAATGTCTACAGCATGGTCATTTTTTATATTCATGATATTTTTTTTCCTGAGATAAGTGATCCAGGTGTAAGATGGATAGTACAGCTTATTCTCATTTGATGTTGTTGTTGGAAGTACATCAGATATCTTTAATGCTACATTTGTAATGGATTGAATGGATTTTTGAATGCAGTGCTACCTGTGTGTAACTCAAACACTCATGCTTCATGCAGATGAACTTTTTCTCTTGTAATTCTCTGTTTAATCATGTCACTTTCACCAAGTGTCTGTTTAATAATAGTAAAAAGAAATACTGCTGTTCTTCCAGTAGTATTCCATTACATTTGGAAGAGTAAATCTCTCTTTTCTAAACTGCTATATAACCAAACAATGTAAGAAGCGAATGGTCATTAAACTTACTATCTGTTTCCCTATATCTTCTGCTAGGAACTTGTGGAGTATTACAAGCATCATTCCCTCAAAGAAGGCTTCAGAAGTTTGGATACAACTCTTCAGTACCCATACAAAGAATGTGAAAATTTGCTTGACCAAAGGAGTAACAGAGCAAGTAGCAACTGTGAGTATTCCCATTTCCCGTTGTTCTAATAACAAAAAGAACAGCAATAGATTAAAAACGTCTCCCATTTTGCATGTTTGACTTATAACCAATTAATATGATAATGCATTTGGCTAGATTTTCTTCTGCAGCTAAGCAGAATCAAGATCTGCTGACAGGTTTATGAACAGGTCTTGTTAGACTTCCTGACTGCCTGTCCTTAAATCAAATCAGCATTCAAACATCTATTAAAAATGTAAGTGAGCGATTGATTTGTAAACAGACATTTTGCATTGGTTGCGCTGTTTCGGCAGCATGAATTAATAAACATGTAGTTCTAATCTTGCATTTGGCATTCAAATGAATTATTTGTTTGATTTAAAATAACATACAGTAAAGTGGAATTGCTGTGGAGAACCTTAGATTCATAGCAATTCCATTTATACTGCTGTTTGTTAAGGTTTCTAAGTACAGAGGGCTTAATGTACCCATGAGTGTTTAGCTCCAACACCCATACAGATACAAAAATGTGGATGATCATGTCCCATATTATCAAATGGTGATGACATTGTCATTTCTGCACATGTATTTTTACTTCGCCACCACTTAATAATATGATGATCCATGACTGATTGAAATTATGGATCCTGAACCTATGGATCTGGAAGTCCCACTGTAGAACTTTTCTGGATTCAGCCAGAATATTCAGAAGGAAACCTTTGTGTAGAAGTCAAATCATCACTGAACATGCAAAGGAAAGTCAGATAGAGAGGTGCAGACAATGTATTAATAAATAGAAAAGGAACTGGAAAAGGTTTAAGCATCCATTTGGCAAGTGCTCTTTTTTTCAAATTATACCTTTTGAATACTGTTTAGAAGTTCATAACCTCCAGTCTCCAGTGGATTTTAAAATGTCAGGTAGGTAATATTTTAATACATCTGTTTAGGCTGAATATGAATAATTTGGGTAGCCCAAATGCACACACAACCAACCCTCTTTCCCCTTCCATTGAAATGATTAATAAGCTGGCATCTTTTGAACTTGGAATAATAGGACTAAATCTATCCTTGTACTAGAGATTGCTATAGAACTACCATCCTTTGTTCCTTGCAGCCATTTTTACCCCCTGAAAACTGTAATAGCTAGTCAAAACTGAGAAAGGACATTCCAGTTACTCATGGCTTATATGTTGACTGGTCAATCACTTTTCTTTCATTTTAGTGTTTCATCACTTAGCAATTCTTATCCCCCAGTCACATTTGGTTCTCACTTAGAAGATTATGTCTGTGGAAGAACATTTTGTATACTCTCATCTGTGAAAACCAGCCCATTCTTCCATTACTGAGATGTGAATGTAGTATTTGTGATTGCATTACATTTCACCAATCTGCATTTTCAGGGATCAGATGGCATACATAGCAAGAAAAAGACTCAGACCTGAAGCTTCACATACGAAAACACTTCTAGCTTGTGCTTGTTTACAGAAATGACAGATCTCACTGAGTTAATACTATAAATCCTAATTTTAAATTTTTAAATCCCTTTCCACCCTGTTCTTCATTCTTTCTGTTTCCTTTTGAACATTTATGGTTTTGCTGTGGACTTGTCTATATTTTTGCCTTTTGTCTTCCCAATCCTCTAATAATTTTGTTTTCAGTTAATGTCCATGCATTTCTCTTTTCATGCTCTTCCTTCTCAGCATTTACATTTTCCCTTGTCTTTCTCTTGTGTCATTTTACTTCATAGGCAAATTGCAAACCTTTCTCAAATTGTCTAGTTTTTTTTTTACAAAAAAAATCAAATCATTCTTAGGTAGAGGTAAACACAAATATCATATACACATCTATCTTAGAGCAGTAAATACAGCTAATGTTAGCCGTCATGTTTTATGGCTTTGCAGAAGCACCGCAAACAAATATGTGCATTGATGCAGCAAGCTTCTGGCTGTTAAATAGTTTGGTTGCAGACAGTGATACACCAATCAGGACTTTCCTCTCTTCTCTCCCTCCCCACTTCCCATCAACAACATTGTAAACAACAATGTTAATGGGTGATAGGAATGAATGACTGCTATGTTGTTTTTTTATTTCTCTCCACAATTTGAATGGAATTATTGCCTATTTCTGACTACATGCAACCTTTAGTCCATAATTTTAGATACTGGGTTACTGGGTTACTTCTATTTTTATATTTTAGTGTAATAATGCATAATCTGTCCCCATCTTGAAAGGTTCCAGTATTTTATTTATATGCTCTTTCAAATAAAAAGCTAAAAGCCTCAAAGTCACTGTTTGCCACTTTCCCCCATATTCACATGGTTATTAAAATCCCAACTAACCAGGAGACCTTCTCCTTTTTATTGATTGGATTCTTCTATAGTGCAAGAAATCAGAACAATTCTGGTTTATTTCCCTATGAAAAGATTTGATATGTTCTGTTATGGCTTGTATTTAACTTTTTCTGTGACAGTTGTATACAATATCTGTCTTCCTGGTTTTGTTTCCCTTGCCAGATTTATCAATTGAAATCTATAGGTGGTAAGAAACTTGAGCTATTGTCTTCCTGGAGTAAAGGCTATTTTCTTTTAGAAGAACCATCATTTTCTTGTTTCTTTATCTTCAATCTCTATATAAGGGTTTTAAAAAAGAGAAATATACCTGCTTGTGACTCGTTTAGCTCACACGAACAGAAGGGAGTTGGCCAAGAGATCAATTGAGAACCACAGTCATAACCCCAAAACAAGTTTGTGCCATAAATGGTCAAAAGGAAATTGATTTTCCTGGGCTTCCTACCTTAGCAGAAATGGAGGTTAATAGTGTTAATGCTACAAAAACAATGAATATAATCTGGACCAATTTCAAAGACAGGGCTCAGTACTTCGTATAGCTTGTTTAAAGTTCAAAGTAGCACTCAGAGCAAGTTCACTACCCCAGTGATATCAGAGCTACCAGTCTCCATTGTCCAGCTGTGGTGAAAATAGTGGAAATTGTATTGAACTAGATGGGATGGCTCTCAGCTCTTGGTCACTTATTTCTATTCAAAATGTTATTGAGGCCATAACTGTCTCAATTGCTATGATGATTATGAAGTTTACCACAGCCCTTGTTGATTATGTAACTGTCACAGCAAAGTTGATATGACATTACGCTGTAGCAAGCCTATTTCCTTATTTGGGAGAAAGTTCAAAGTATGTCCTGCATTCTGTGTCAATAGAAGCACAAGGACATTTAAGAACTATAGTTTTGAACCATCTTACCATAAGTAAGTAAAATAAATGGATGGGTGCAACCAAACAGACCACATTCAGAGAATTGTGTCTTTGCTCAGTAAGCTGACTTATGAACAAACATCTTGCCCAAATGGCTTTTTCTCCTCCATTCATTCTGCAAACTATCACATTGGCAAATCTGTAATTAATAAAAGTTTCATCCAAACAGAAAAAACAAGGGTTACTAGTTTTAAAGTGCACACTATACAACCAGGAAGCCTATCGTTGTGATTTCCTGTTTTATACAAAATAGGGGGCTATGGATAGACCTTCAGTACAAGCCAGAGGTTTTAGCTATCAATTCCTTGTTCAAATAAAATAGAAAATAGAGTTAATTACATGTGACTTTTACATTTTTCTGATCATTGTAAAGATCTAATTATCTTATTGACTGTGAGGGGAAAAACCGCCTCATTACATGTCTCCTGCTGGGCAGAGCAATCCTCCTTTTGTCACAAGTTGGCAGCATTTATGTGGCTTTGCGGATGCCATCCTAGACATGTTTGACCTCTACATGGAACAGTCCTTGCATTTTGCTGGCATCGCCTTCAGGGATGCCGTGTGTTTGTAATTTCCTGTTATCCTTCTGTATAGGCTGTAGATAAATCCCCCAGAAGTAACCCAACATAACAAATTTGAATGCATCCATTTTCAAAAAATGTCGGTGTTACTCATGGCTTCCTCTGCTTGCTCACTATTTCTTCCTGTGAGATAGCATTGGTGATTTCATTGGTGAATGACAATCTTAGTCCTTTACTACAACTGCTATACCATGCTGGCTTTTTAATGGTTTCTGTACCAAGCATAGGAGGCACCATCAGCAGGCTAGAGAGTTAATTGCTTCATTCGGCACAATATTAGATACTAGTCCTGGGTTTGTAGCAACGAGTTGGGGATTGGAATTATCAAAGTGTACAACCTCTGTATTTCTGCTCAGGTAAGATAAAATACTATGAAATTCATGGGGTTTCCATAAGTTGAAGGCAGCTTGAAGGCACACATAAGAGCAAAGGTACAGATTTGTGAATGTGTGGAAAGGGCAAAACTCCCATTGCTACCACATTTCTTCAAGATAATTTTGCTTCTTAATATCAGAGACTTAAGTTGTAAGATTACTCTTTTGATATTACTTTTTAAAAACCAGTATTTCAATGTCATTTTGCTTCTCTCTCTTTTTTCCCTTCTTTCTCTAAGCCCCTTCTTTGTTCTGTGGGTTTTCTTTTGTAACTTCTCCAGACTACAGCTTTGTTCCCCCTTCCTCTACTCCTTTCTGGTCAGGTACTGCTTTACTGCTTTTATATTACTTCTCAGTATGCTTCTGTTTTGCACATCCAACTTTTCCATATGTAGTGCAATCTAGGGAAGGGACGGATTCTGTGCACATACACATCCCATGTACACAATTTGACCCAACTCAGACATGTCTTCTTCTAGATGTTTTGGAGAGCCACTTAAATGTCTGAGCAGTATTGTAAAAATCAAGAGTTTATCTTCATTACACCACTAAAGCAATTTGGTACCACTGCCGTGGCTCTGTCCTATAAAATCCTGTGATACCTAGTTTGATGCCATATATAGAATGCCATATTTAATTCTAGTACAATCCCTGACTTACATGGCTGGAGCTCTCTAGCAGAGCATTCTAAATACTGCACAGTGTAAGGAAAACTATAAATCTCCTTCAAAATGAGTAGGCCCATCCTTAAGTGTACATTGCACAAAAATACTTTATTGCCCTATAAATTTACACCTGTTCTGCAATAACTGTTCATAAATAAGGTGTTCCCATTGATTCTGCAATAACAAGGTTTCACAATTTGAGTGACGTTTGCCAAGGCCAAGCTAAATCAAATATATGGATGCGAAGATCTCAATTATCATATTATACTATTTTCTGTTTGGAAATAGCATCAAACAATGAGAAACCATATTTTTATGACTCAAATATTCGTCCCATCCCTAAATGAAACCACATTGCAACACCATTCTGTTATATAAACCTTTGATTCAGAAAAAAAAAAAACATTTAAAATGTCATTAACTTTTTGCATGTGCATTGTCTACAAGTTGATTCTTTCAGTCCATTTCTTTCTAATGCACTTCTATGGTTTTCCTTACTCCCTTTTGCACTTTTCTTGTTATGTCAGAACTATTTGCATTTTGATGTCTCAGAGGAACACAGTTTTCTTTTCTTGACTTTAAGAGCTGTGAGAGCTCTATGGATGTGACTCTTGCTATATACAGTATGTCCATTCAGGTGTGGAGCTCAGCAATTCTAGAGACTAAGTGTCTCCATATTGTATAACAGTTCAGTGTAACATGTATGGGGAATATGTGCTCTGATAGATTATGTTGTACTACAGCTGTCATAATTTCTGACTGTTAGATGAGTTTAATGTAATTTGGAATCTCAAAGGGCTGAAGGATCACAGCTTCCTCAGCTCTGGTTCCAAAGCTGGAAAAAGATACCATACATAAAGAATAGCCATTCATAGTAAAAAATATAAAAAAAGATACGGTGGACCTCCAAAGGCAGAGGGCATCCTACTTTACTAGAAATATCAAGGAAAGCATGCCTTAACATGCTGCCCTCTCAGATGTGTTAGAATATAGCACCCTCATTGCAGCCAGAATGGCCTATTGGTTATGTTAAAATACTGAGTAAGTGGAAGAATCCTTGTGATCTTTAAAAAAAAAAACAGGCAACAGATGTAAAAAGCCAAACTCAATCTAGCTTGATTTCCCCACTCTCCCTTCTCAGCAATATATTAAGAAATAAGAGGTTATCAGGAATAATTAGGGGATCTCATACTGTCCGCTGGAAAAAAAACAGCTTTACAACATTTCAAAAATATTTAAGAGTGAGGTGTTGAAAACCTTTTCTCAGGTTTGAATAAATCTGATGGACAAACCCATTTCATTATTTGCAGGTACAACATGGTTCTACATTTGTTCCAAAAATATGTTTTTTGAGAATTTTTATGAAATCTGAGAAGTTACATCTAAGCTGTTATCAAACAGAAATACTGTGTAACTTGTGTAAATTATCAAGGAAACGGGAACAAATATTTAATAATTGTGAGACTATGAGGAAACTAACCAGAATTAACTAATTAACCAGTGTTCAAACTCATATGAATCATATTGTACAATTAAAACACGACATCAATTCCTTCTTTTTTTTCGTAATCATGATAAAACTTATGGAGCCCAATGAAATTGAGTAACTGTAGGTTAAGAAAGGATAGTTACTCAGGCAACACATTGTTAAGTAGATAGCGGAAGGGTGTCCCAAAGCTCACATGGATCACGGTCGGAGATAGAGAGGCCAAGCTGATGTACCTTTGTTCCTGCCATTTAAAAAAATTGGTTCCAACAATACTCCATCATGGCAAGGTGGAGGAGTGTTGGAGATCTCAACCCAGTGGATATCCGCTTTGAGTCGCCCAAGGGCTGAGAAAAGCAGTATATAAATGAAGTAAATAAATAAATATCCTACTGTATATACTGCAGAAGTCTAGAAATTTTAGGTTTGTTTGTTTTTATTTATATTCATTTTATATTATTTTATATTATATTATTTATATTATTTATATATTATTTATATTATTTTATTTATATTCATTTTAAAAAAACCAAACCCAAATGGAAAACCTGGTTGACTTATACTTGGGTGGCACTTGTGTTTTCTCCACACCACTTGATGTCCCCAAACCCTGTTCTTTTCACACACCAGAAGAGCTCTTCTGTATACATGGAAGGAAATTTGAATTGGGGGAGGGGAGTTACAGTTCCTTTGGCAGCCATGTGAGGAGATTGATGTTTTTCTGTCTAGTAGCTATAGAAGAGTAATTAATGCATTTATGGATTAAACTGCCTGCCATCTTAATTAAATGGGCATGGCTAGTATATTTCTAAGAGACTGAACATGGTCTTCCTAAAACCATCTAACTGGCAATAGTTTGAAACAGGATGCTGAATCAATCAAATAAAATGATATGCATAGACCATAAGGAAGGCTGAGCAAAGGAAGATAGATGCTTTTGAACTGTGTTGCTGGAGGAAAATTCTGAGAGTGCCTTGAACTGCGAGAAGATCCAACCAAGTCCATACTTCAGGAAATAAAGCTCGACTGCATATTGGAGGGAAGGATATTAGAGGCCAAGATGAAGTACTTTGGCCACATCATGAGAAGACAGGAAAGCTTAGAGAAGACAATGATGCTGGGGAAAATGGAAGGAAAAAGGAAGAGGGGCCGACCAAGGGCAAGATGGATGGATGTCATCCTTGAAGTGACTGGCTTGACTTTGAAGGTCCATGAGGTCACAAAGAGTTGGAAGCGAATAAAAAAAATAAAAAACAACAAAGACGCTCTTGTTGCTGGAGTTCTGTATAATAATAATAATAATAATAATAATAATAATAATAATAATAATAATAATACAATTGGCGTTGACAAAATTACCATCTGTCAGCTGGAAAAGGCCACCCTATTTGGATCTGCACACATTATTCGCTGATACATCACACAGTTGTAGACGCTTAGGAAGTGTCTGATGTGTGATCAAATACAAAAGCCAGCATAGTGATCTTGTTTGCTGTGTACTAATCTTGTTCTGTATCAAATAATAATATAATAATAATAATATATCTTACCTGCCTCTCCTCATGGCTTGAGGTGGATTATAACTTAGCTTAAACACATTAATCATCATAAACATTATATAAAATACACATGCCTGTTGCTCCCATTTTTAACACTTGCTCCTTTTTTTCCCTGCCATAGTAGTACTCCTCCTCAAGAGATATGGAGGACCATTTGTGGGCTTTGACACCTTTTGCAGAGAGGCTTATTTAATGTGCAGCTCTGGCCATTCATTGGTAGACAGTATTTACATACTGGAATGTAATCCAATATCAAATAGAAAATTTACTCTCTATTCATTCCCTTCTTCTCCCAATATTTTGTACTCCGATAAGCATATTTATATTACTAGCTGCTTAAAAGGATTATGCATTAGGTGCTATACTGACAAAAAATAAAGGATATTTCATTTTTCAGGTGATGATTTGATCTTAGGCATTTCAATTTTGGTCACTGAAGTGTGTATAGTTATTATTTTTTCAAAGCATAGTGTCTGCTCCTGTTATGGGAAAGCTATCACAGTGTGTAAAATATTGCCTTTTGGGTACCACATGAGTCTACAATAAAATTTGACACAAAAGCATGTGCAGCAATTTTGGAATCTAAATGGTGATCTTTATCATAGCTGTCTATATATTTTTCTCATTTGGATGGCATTTTTATATATATCCTGGCTTCAAATTGGGAAGAGCTATTTTTGCTGTCTCTGAAGGCATATTGAAGAACGAGTGGGGCAGAATTAGAATGCCTACGACTTTTGCATGAGAATAGCTTTGCTGTGGTGAAGGAATTTGGGCTTAGTAAATATAACCTTAGTATCACTACCATCAATATCATCATCACTACCATTCCTAATTTCCCTGATTTTGATCCTACCTTTACACCCAAGAATCCTGTCATGATTATCTGAAAAGGTTACATCTAACTCAAGTGTTTAGCTGGGAACAGTCATGTGTTTATTTGTCTTACTTGAGCTCCTAATTCCTTTTCATAACAACCTTAAGAAAAAAAGGTGCTCAGAGGAAATAGATAAGCTCAAAGTCACCTAGAAAACTCGGAACTCAGGGACACCTTGATCTTCAAGTCCTGGTTGAACACTCTAGCGACCACTGTCAGGGTGTGTGGGGAACCTGTCACCCCACGCCCCGCATTGTCCAACTGGGCAATCCCACAGGGAAAGACGTCAACCTTCTGCCCCCCCCCCCCATGTTGCTGTGGTGGAAGCATCTTCTTTGCTGCCCCTTTAAGCACAGAGCCCCTCTGGAAATAGTAACCATATAATGGGAGTCGAGGGCTCCATGCTTAAAGGGGAGGCAAAGTGAAACATGCCACTGATACTTCCCCTGTCTGATGAGGTTGTTTGCCAAGCATGCACAACTTGGCAGTTGTAAAGGGTCAATATTTTGTTAAAAAAACTTCTGCAGACCACTTCCTTAGTGAGCCACGGGGAAGTGCTTTTGTAGGCTGCAGGGAAGCCCTTTTGGGCTACGTCCCGCCTATGAGCCATACATTGTGCTCTTAGCAGTGGTTCTTTTTAAGGTGTGTTTGTTTCAAATTTCAGACAATCCTTTTTAATTCCTTAAAGACAAGATACACACACACACAAATAGGTCATTTGAAATTAAGCACAGAGGAATTTGACAAAAGGAGTGCTTCGGTTTGTACAGTGTATGTGTGGTTACCAAATGCATCCCCCCCTTATGCCTATTTTTAAGATGTGTTCTGTTTTGTATTAGTTTTCACAAGTTTTATATTTCTTTTATTGCTTTCCTGCTTGATTTTTGCTTTACCTGTTTTATTTATATTGCATTGTTTCTCAACTCTTGCATCGCAGTGCTGGCATTTTGACCGATAACTCGTATATCCATAAATAAAAGAAATGGAAAAAGCTGATGCAAGAGAACAATAGCTGCTTCTTAAATGTTATTTCACCTCCGGCAGTAATTGGCCCAACTTTTGGTGTCAAGACTATTTATGGGATAATCCCCCCGTCATAAGAGGGCATGGCAGCTAACCCCAAAACTGCAATGTTGATAATGCTACCCACAATTTTTGATTCCTCAGCAGAGTTCAGAGTCTGTTCTTTGGCCTGTTCTTTGAAAATGCTGTCACATCAAAGAGGACTATAATAGTGTGTCTTCTGTCATCTGTGATTCCTTTAAAATCTGGGCTGATTCATAATCTCACTCATGACTACTAATATCCCGCTCACATACAAGAGAAGTCCTGTTTTTCATGCCGTGATGATAGTTCTTTCTGATGGAACCTGTTTGACCTTTACAAGAAACAAAATATTTTCTGGTCTTGGCAACAGGGGCCAGATATGAACTGGGAAGAGTGGAACAAGTGATAATCTCTAAACCCGGCATGAAGAAAATCTTCTACATATGGTGCCCGTGGTTCCCAGACCCATTCCTACGGTCTGCTAGATCTCTCCCTCCCATTTTAATAATTTAGTAGCACAAATAGGTCAAACAGTCTTAAATATGGTATGCTTGCTATCTCTAGTCACTGCTTATGGCCAATGTTTGGCTACAAATGAATCTGGATGTATCTTCTGGCTTACTGGGAACACATTGCATAGTCTATGGGAGTGGTGCAGAAGCAAAAATTGCTCTAAACCAAGTTTCAGAATTAAGAGATGAGAAGCAGAGCTGGATTTAAAAATAAGATAAGGGAGAAATGTATGGAGCTCTATAATACACTGTCCAAGAAAATCACTCATTACTATCATCCCTGGATATTTATACTCAAATAGGTAGAAGAGAAAAAGGAAAACCAATGGTTTCTCTGAAACTGTTTGCAAAGATATCTTCTGCAATTATTCTAAATATTGCTCCAGTGTACTTGTCATATCTTCCTCATTGATCTTTAGATTGAGGATTGTAAATTCAAATTTAGTCCTTGAATTTTAAAATCACTCTCCTTTTTCTTAAGAGTATCTTCATTGTGATTGAGGAATTTCTCCAGAACCTCAAAATGTATATCTGATACGGATTGTTCCTTAGTAAACACGTCTACAAAATGTTTAACTAAAGAAGCATCCACCCTTTTGTGAAACATTTCTATTAAACAGAATTATATATACATTTTTTAGTATAGCACCTGAGAAAAGCTAACTCTATACATGGCTGAAATGCATTGTGTTTTTCAAAAAACAAATAAAGCACGTGACTACCTATTAGCATAAAGAGTTTTGTCTCCTGATTTGTTTTAGTTTTTTTGGATCACAGCCAGTATTGTCATGTGTATTGATGAAAATGTCTATTTTTGTAAAAAAAAATATATCAGTATTTCTAGGTTTTACTATGGGAAAATATAATCAATTCAAGAATATATAACAGTTAGTGAATCTCATACGTTTCCTTTGCATTTTTTCATAAAACCAGCTTGCATTTCTACATTAAAGAATGCCTTTGCTTGCATTTGTAGTATCATTATATGCAAAGTAAAAATTTTTTGCTGATGTTAGTCAATGGATGTGCAGTTAGAATACTTCTAATAACGTTGCTCTCCTCTGTTTTCCTTCAGTGCTGAGTCCCAAGGTCCTTGGTATCGCTATTGCCCGCTATGACTTCTGTGCAAGAGACATGCGTGAGTTGTCCCTACTCAAAGGAGATGTTGTTAAAATTTACACAAAGATTAGTGCCAATGGCTGGTGGAGAGGTGAAGTAAATGGAAGGGTAGGTTTTCCACACTTCTTTCTGTGTAAAATCCTGCTAAATATGTTGGAAAAGGAGAATTCATCCACTATCCATGATTCTTTCTATTTCTTTGGTTCGTTTAAAATGCTTTGATTATTTATTTCTGACATTTAAGATCCCAACTAAAAATGTGCCTGTGCATGTGCCTTCATGTTTGCTGTTGACTTATGATGACCCTATGAATTTCATAGACTTTTCTTAGGCAATGGATATTGAGGGGCGACTTTGACATTTCCTTCCTCTCCTATATAGCCTATATCACCTGGTATTCATTGTCACTCTCCTGACCAAGTATTAACAGGTTGACCTTTCTTTGCTTCCAAGGTCAAATGGGACCTTCTGCTTTTAGGTTATGGAATCAAATCTGGCTGAGCACAATAAAGCTTATTCTGAGTAGGTGGGCATAATATTTAGATGAACCAGGCCAGAAAACAGAGTCATGTTTAACCAATTAAAGGAACAGATTTCAAAAATTAGAACAGAATTTTTAAAAACTAAATGATTTCCTACACACTTAAAAAAAGATTAAGTCTTCAAATCACTGTAAATGGCCAGGGTGGCACTATATCTTAGCAGGGAAATCTTGGACATCTGGAGTGAAACTCCTAGTCCACAAAATGGCTACTCTCACTTCCCACTTTCTCTTTAAAAAAATGTATTAAATTTTCCATATATATACAATGCAAGACAAAATGTCAGCACTTACATCTGAACCTTTTTAATTTTGAATATGTTTTGGTGGATTTTAACAATGTTTTAGTGCTGTTGTGTTTAATTGTGTTTTAATGTTTGTATATGTGTATATTTTAAATTGTATACTAATGCTTTTATGTCAAGCCGCTTTGAGTCCCCTTTGGGGAGATAAAGTGGGGTATAAATAAATATAACAACAACAGCAGCAGCAGCAGCAGCAACAACAACAACCTGTGCCTGTCACCGGGGAAAGATGGAGAAAGGATGTGGGATGGCTGGCCATCCCAGAAGAAGGACCTTGATGGTAGGGAACAAAGTAAGACAGTTCCCTCCATTTCCCCCTCTTTCCCCTTGCTCATGGGATGAGATCCTTAGATTGCTATTCCCACTTGGAAGCAGAATCTACAGGAGAAGGCCATTTCCCCTTGACATTAAGTCTAGTCAAGTCTGACTCTGGCGGATGGTATTCATCTCCATTTCTAAGCCAAATAGCCAGGGTTGCACACATTTGCATGTTTTCAAACTGATCCAAGATAGGCTTTGATAAATCTGGTCACTACCTTGCCTTCTGGTAAGTGTGGAAAGCAAAACTCCTTACCAGCCTTGAAGCTCCAGCAATGGACATGGGTCGTGGTAATTTTGGACATTTGGTTCAAAGTTGTATGGGCCCCTATGCTATGAACAGCTACAGCTATAGGATTCTCCTGCTTTTAAGGGCAACCCACACTAAGCACACTGGAGCAATCAATCTTGGGCTTCATCTACACTGAAGAATTAATGCAGTTCGATACTACTTTAACTGCCATAGATCAATAGTATAATCATCTGAGTTCTAGTTTTATGAGATTTTTAGCTTCCTCTGCCAAAGAAGGCCTAGAAGCTGATCCTTGCTAAACTACAACTCATGGGATTTCCATAGTTTTGAGGCATTACAATTAAGCTGTTTTCAAACTGCATTGTTTCTATAGTGTAGATCAGGGGCCCTCAAACTTTTTAAACAGAGGGCCAGTCCCTCAAACTGTTGGAGGGCCGGATTATAATTTTTTTTAAAAACCATGAATGAATTCCTATGCACACTGCACATATCTTATTTGTAGTACAAAAACACTTAAAAACAATACAATAATTAAAATGAAGAACAATTTTAACAAATATAAACTTATTAGTATTTCTATGGGAAGTGCGGGCCTGCTTTTGGCTGATGAGATAGGATTGTTGTTGTTGTTGTTGTTGTTGTTGTTGTTGTGTGCTTTCAAGTCATTTCAGACTTAAGTTGACCCTGAGTGAGGGCTGGGTAAATGACCTTGGAGGGCCATATCTGGCCCCCGTGCCAGATTTGAGGACCCCTGGTGTAGATGCACCCAAAGTTATTGCAAAAGCATGGATAACTGTAATAAGTTTCCTCCAGTCATAAAAAGGACGAAAGAGAAGCAATAAATGTAGGTTAGGTTTGCCTGAGTTAGCTTTTTTGTCAATTTGCAGCATACTTTGGGACAAGCAATCTGAAGGTGTGTTTTAGATGCATACTGCCAAAGGGTATGTTGCCATTTAGTATTGCCGGCTGCTTTCAGTTTTCTCACTATATCAGTGTACAGGGTAGATCAACTTTATGCACTGAGTCAGAAAGAACCCATTTATAGGATCTGGAAATGGTCTGGTATGAAGCAGCCTTGGCTTCAAGGCAGTCAAGCAGAGGTCAGGGAGACTGTGAAAAATGGTTGTGATGGAACAGAATATATCAAAAGGCAGAAGTTTGCCTTTGGAGGCCTTCAATTAGGATCTGAAGCTGAAGCTTACAGGATGTTGATCTGGCACAGACAGGATTTTGATAGAGATGATAGAGACAGAGTTTTAGATTTAAGGCAAAAGGGAGAACTACCAATAGTATTGGGGAGCCTAAAGAATAGATTATTAGAGTTTAATATATTTCTTCTTATGTTCCTGTTGTTTTAAACCTATCTGGCTCCCAATGAAGTCTGAATTGAAGTAAGGCCACAATTAACACAGTAAGGAACCTACACAAGTTCTCCTTTAATAGTGTCAATCAATTGTCATCCGTAAAGCTAACAATTGATGGAACAATGGCAGGATGCATGCTAGGATTCCTTGAGGTTGGGAGTTTTGCAGTCAGCTGGGATAAAGGCAATATGTCACAACTTGTTTCATAAAGTATATACAAAAGAAGAATGAATATACTGTAGCCAAAATTATCAAAATAGCCCTGGGTTTTGGCAGAGAAGGAGTTCCTTGGCGCTTTCATTGCAGGATGAGGGTCCTATGATTATGTGGTGCCAAAGGAAGAAAAAATCCTGGCACATAAAAGCTACATGAGAAGACTTGACAAACTTGGCCTTTAATGTTTGATTTATGGGAAAGCAAGGCTCTCTGTTTGCTTTGTGGAATGCAGAAGCAATACAAAATGTGAATCCCCATTTGAAGTGGTACTAGCAGATTTACTATCAAATCTTGGTTTCGGGTAATACCATCTAACTTGTCCTTTTTCTCTGTCTTAGTTGAATACTAGAATATTCTGATTTTCTTAATTAAAACTTAACTGTCACTTCTTGCTATTGGGTGTCTTCTAGTTGTTTCTGCCTTACGATGACCTGAATATGAACCTATCATGGGGATTTCTTGACAAAATTTGATCTGAAAGGGGTTGCTTTTGCTTTCCTCTGAGGCAGAGAGTGTGTGATTTGCCCAAAGTCATCTAGTGATTTTCCATGACCAAATAATAATAATAATAATAATAATAATAATAATAATAATAATCCAACTTTTCTAACTAATGGGAGCCACAGTGGCACACAACATAATACAATACAAATCAAAGTACATTTAACATAAAATACAAGACAAAAATCACACAAAACATAACACCCAGAAATAAGATATAAATAAATATTAATCTTTAAAAACAATTACAATTATTGTGGAGACTAATTCATTAAATAGTATATTTTGCTAAGCTCAGTGCAAATTGTCCTTGCTGTCATTAGCAATTGAATTCACTTGTCAAAAGCTTGCTTGAACATGTAGGTCTTCAACTGGTTCTTGAAAGGTAAGAGGGAAGGGGCAGTTTTATTCTCAGTCGGAAGGTTACAAGTAGTGATCCTGCAGAGTCATAGGCTGGATCTACACTGCCATATAATGCAGTTTTGGAATACGGAATACATTGAAGTAGACTATATGACTCTGCCATATAATCCAGCTGAATGCAGTTAATCTGCAAACTGAAACTGCATTATGTGGCAATGTAGATTCAGCCATAATCTGGCACTCATAGCACCAGGCCTGTAGCTGGGGGGAGGGGTTCAACCCCCCCCCCCCCCGAAATTTTTCAGGTTAAAAAAAACAACTGGTTTACTCATGAATTTTAACTGGTTAACCAAATCCCCATGCTAAGTCTATGAGATGCAAAAACGTCCCTCCAGAACTGCAAGCACTATCTCAAGCAGATATTGGCAATTTATTCACACTGTCATTACTTGCTGCAATAGCCGATGTAGCGAAGCAACCAAGTTGGGGGAGGGAGTGTTGAATGCTCTCATTAAGGAGGCCAGACTTGGTAGAGGTGGTTGACAGGGGTGGAACTGCAAGCTATTGAAGGCTGCTCTGCCCCCTGCTGTGCTCCTTGCTTCAGCGTGAGCTAGGAGGCAGGTTTCAACCCCCCCCCGCAAAATTTTCAACCCCCCCCCAAATTTTCAACCCCTCCCAAAAAAAATTTCTGCATAGCACTACACCATACTGACTCTCATCAGCTTTTCCTATTAGACATCAAGTTCTTATTTTTCAGATTGGATCATTAACTTGAACCTATTTGTTTGGGAGCTGCTGTATGTTCTGTAACAATAAAAATAGCACAGTTGTTGTCCTCTTCTTCAGCATCCTTAATAATTCCTTATTTGAATGGAGACTCCTACTGAGTGAAAGGAATATGAATCTAATATAATGATATATCCTTTTTCTTTTCTTTTTTCCTTGCTTAGGTGGGTTGGTTTCCATCGACTTACGTAGAAGAGGATGAATGACTTGCAGATCAAGTTGGTACTTTTGATGATAAACTTCAGGGACAATGAAACCCAGCCATCTGCAGCGCATTATTCATCTCCTTAAGTGTTTGAACTGCAGCGCTTCTGTCTGTCGAAACCCTCAAGTCTTAACACTGGGATTACTGAAGAAGTTTGTGTTGACAGATTAATATCTCACTCAGAGCTGTGCAAAGAAGCAACCTGTCCACAGGCCATCACTGGGGACCAGTACAAAACTCTAACCTCACCTTCCTGAAATATCACTTAAAAACAGACTTGTTTTTCTTTTTCTTTTTTTAAAAGCTTCATTTCATTCCATCTGCAATGAATACTAAGCATAGGTAGCAGTTTACTCACCCCTTTTTCTGTCTCTCTCTTTCACACCCCCTCCCTGTTCGTTTGTCCTGTTACCTAACATTAGGAGCTTTCTCTGTTGTTGCTTACTACTGCCTGGGGGACGGGGGTGTTTGAGCATTCCAGTAGTCACGTGGCCAATATTATTTGTCTTGAAATCCCCAGCAGCACTAATTAACCTTGCCAACGACTGCACATTCACCACGGCTGCAATCTTTTTTTAAAAAAAAATCTGTGGCTAAGCTTAACTCAACATTATTTTTGCATGTCATTTCTGTGTGTCGAGGTACGGATACAAAGGAACGTAGAGTTTGTTCAAGGAGAATTTTAACTGGCTTGTCTCAGAGTTTTGCTGAAAGGATTTGTGAAAGAACAACCTTGAAAAGATGAATTGAGTCCTGGGAAAAAAATTATTTACAATTTAAGGTCTCAGATATGGGTTATTCCTTATAGGACAGAAGCTGCTGTGTGTTTAGAAGATGTGCTACGGTTTCATCGATATATAGCCTGAAGCACAACTTTATTCAGTTCCCCAGCCATTTCTAAACTTCTTCTAATGTGCAAGCTGTGTCCCCTCTTGCCTTCACAGCTCAGTGGGACCAGTCGTTGCATAAAGTCATGTTATGTAGTTATTTAAACAAGGTAATATCATTAAATACAAAAGGCAATTCAAATGACTAATGTTGCAGATACAGGCACATCTCCCAGGAAATGAAGTGTACTTTATTTCTTAGGCAAATGGTCATTTTCTCTGGCTTGTATCACTGAATGAAGTCAATTACTCTTTTAAGCACTACCAAAAATAATTTCACCTGCAATTTTCACTTTCTCAAAGTATCAGGACAAATCAAGAAGCACCTTGTAATTTCTGGAACACTAAGAGACTTTATGTTCCATTCCTCAATTTTCTCATACTGAACAGTGTTACAGAATCACATTTTTTTAAATATTAGCTTCTTACAAGAGTTTGAACAGCAGTGAAGAAGAGTATGCAAGCAGTTCATTGGTCTGATGCTCACATCTCACAAAAAACAAGAAGCCTCAGTGGGTCTCAGGAATAGGCATCTATAGGTGTGTTTGGATTTGTGCGTCTCTTTGATTTTACTGAAAATAAAAACATTTAATTTATTGATCACATCATTTTGATGGGAACAGTCACAAGCATTTGTATGTGGTTCTAAGTGCGTATTTAATAAAATGCTCTGTGCTTATATGTTAGTCTTAGGGAAGATTCCTTTGTGGGGGGTTTTTCTGTAATGACTACGTTTGTCTGGTGGGCTTGATATTAGTGGGCAAAATTCCTTTGTCATGAATTATTGCCTGTTTTTTATGGGTAGGTTCATCTCTAGATCTGTCAGATGTATTGTGCTGTCTCATCAGTGTTTAAATGTGAGCAGAACTTCAAATAACCATTAAGAAATGTAGCCTTTCAGCAAAATGTTTTGATCAATAGTTTAGATAACTCAAAGTCACTGTTTGTTAATTTTTGCAACTCAGGAGCTAATGGAAGTTGGAGATGTCAAGCCATATCTAATGCCTCCCCTATTTCTATTGCTATTCAGGCATCCTACCCCACCCCTTTCAAAATGTTGCAGGAAGGTGTGTAACTGGGAGCCCCTGTTTGTGTTGAACACCTGTAGTAGAGAAGTAATGGCAGCTGCTTTCACAGGCTCTATGTGTGCAATGGTCCCACATCACATCATCTTCTCCTAAATGTTAAAGAAGTATCCCCCCCCCCCCCCCCCCCCCGCTTCATGGGACACAGGAGGAGATGAAGAGAGTAGTCCAAGGTTGAGCCACCTTTTACTGGCATGCCAGTAGACAGGCACTGTGGAATTGTGACTAGGCAATCCAACCCAAATCCCCATGCATCAGTAGATCACTTTCTGGGGAAGGCTCATATGGGACTCCTTTCTGTGAACTGGAACCCTGCATGTGGTCAGAGATCCGGGTGAGGACCATGCTGTGTGTTGTCTTGGTTTCATGCCATGTTGAGTAAGTTAAATGCTGCACTGTGTGATATTTTAAATGCCAAAGATTTATTATGCCAGAGCCATTGCTTCTTTCTCCTTGCAATATATTTCCCTCTTTTTCCGTCAGACCTTGTCCTCAAGCAGCGGGCTGAGGCACTACTTTAATTTGTAATATTTTGTAAATATGTGAATATATTAATAAACTGGTCCATTTCTTGTTTAATGGCTGGTGTATGGAATTTTTTAAAACATTACATTTCATAATATATTATACATTTCTGAAAATATTTAAATCAGAAATCCCAATAGTTATATTTTGTGTAGTTAAGATGAGTTATATTTATGCATGTAAGAGCTGGAATATAGGTGGTGCTGCCAAGGAGTCAACACAGAGTCCTGTTTTCCTGCTCCACCATTTTTTAAACACCAGTAACCTTGCTAGCAGTACCTCAGAGAAGAATCTCTGCATTTTCCTTTAATCTCAAGGGTAGCTCACCTTCTTCAATTACTAGCAAGGGATGTCTGTGTTTATATAACAGTCTTAACTTAGTCATATATCAATACTTGTTCATATCAATAGGTTACATTTTGACCAAGAATATGGTTCCAATCATGATAGGTCAGGAAACTCATTGACCTTTGTCTGATTACCATCAATACTGATTGCCTTTTTATTGTTCAACCTCATGGATTAATGTGAGAGTTGACTCATTTGAGGAGCTGTCATATTATCATCATGCTGTGCCTGTGACTCATTCACAGAAAGAAGACATTTTGAAGTATTGTGTGGAAACAGTATATATCCATTTTTTTTAAAAAAAATACAACCTCTTGTCCCTCATCCTGTTAGTGTTATTGAGGAGAGCATGGGATGGCCTTTGCTTGCCATTTAGTACTCCATGGAGAAAAGTTAGAAAGGCAATGTGATAACAAATTAATAGGCCACTCAAAGGATCAAGAGTGACTGCAGGGTGTTCAAGAGGTACTGACCTAAGTTTGTACTTCATACAGCAGCCATAATCACAACAGACATTGCAGACAGCAGGTATAAACATCCCTCCAGCAATGAAATATAACAAACTTCCTGCTTTCATAATGATCCTTTGGAGGCCATGAAGTGATAACCCAGGTACCTGCACAGAGGCATAATTGTCTCAGTTAATAATCTGGAGTCTCATTTAGGCACACTTTCTTTAATTGAAAAAGTCTTATCTTGTTTTAAAAAAACTAACTATAAATGAAAATTATTCATTGTCAGAAGCACAACCATTCCTCTTGTCAAAAAGACTTATGACGTTGGCTTAAGGGTGATTTCTAATAATGAGGTAAATGACATTTGCCTGCTTGGCATTGGCAAGGCTACATATATCTTTGTCAAACTGTCAGGAGTTGCACGTGCTGGCATTTTGGGCAGTTTAAGTACTAATTGTAGCCTAAATTTCCTTCAGCCCTGATTCCATATGCCATCTGCATATTCAATGCCCTGCACTCAATTTTTTACCTTTCCCCTTCATGACAAAAATGTTTTCACACTTGGGTTTATAATGACTATTGAAATGACAATGATAGGCACTCAGAGAAACAAAAAGAATGGATTACTTAGTATGCTGTAGGTGTTTTCCAAATATGTATATGGTTGAACAAGATCTATGAAATGAACTCTGCGTTGGATTCAGGTATTTTATCTGCCTTCAGGAACTAAGCTGCCTTTGCTTCATGGCCATCATCCTACAAAGATGGCTTTCAATGCACTCCTTCTTCCCTCTTGCCTATGCCTGATTATATTTCATACCTTTAGTTTATGTTTCTTTAATTACATTCAATAACTACCAGAGTGCCTCTCATTCTTTTGCAGTGACTTAACATAGAGGTGATTACATCATTTTTGCCATGAAATTGCCAGAAGAGTAGCCAATCTATTGCAACTAATTTTCCTCACCTACAGTAGTTATAGGTTTTGGCTGTTCAAATGCTACTTACCAGCAGTAGTAGGCTTAATCCCGTTGGGAAACTCAACTAGAGTACACCCAGTAAATCTGACAACAATCCAAAATATTTCATTGCTATCAGCCATGGTCCATTGCTACCAACCAACCAGATATCAAACCTAAGATATAATGCAATAAAAGTCTATCAATATAAACACATATATAAATTTTATTTTAAAAGTATCAAACATTTAGAAACCATTTTTAAAAGCCCACAATTTAACATTGCATGTAAGCATTCATGAAATTGCCAAGAGCAAGTCTTTTTGAGTAATCATCACACTACAATCTGATGCCAGCTAATTCAAAGCGTCCATTCTAATGATCTTTGCTACTATCACAAACAGTGTCACACAATGCACTATTTATCTCTGCTCACTGGGATACCATATTCTGCTCTTAAACTGTGTCCACACAAATGCTCTCTAGGGCAAGCATATGTACAGCATAATAATGCACCGTCTTCTATACAGCCATGTAGACATACAATCTGTTTTTGTACAGAAGCAACAATACAAAAGTGAGCATTTTTTTTTGAAATTTTACTTCCAAGAAAGCCTTCCTCAAATGTGGCAAGGGAGGTAAGATGAACTTTTGGGATCTGATGGTATTATTTAAATGACAGCAAACCACTGAGAGGAATGAATAACACAGTCTGTCATAAAGGTGAGGAGCATCCACTGAAGTAACAGGATTTACGAAGAATGTTTAGCAATTGATTTAATGGTGGTCTACCCTAGTAACAATAGGATTGAGTCCATTGCTTGTGGTGTGTGGAGTAGTACAGTTTAATGACCCTGTTGTGCTTGTAACTGGGCCTAGTGGAACTTCTTGCCCAAAGATATCAGAAAATAGTTTGATTACGTCTGAGCCCAATAATGAGCCCAACGAGCCTAATGAGAGCCAACCATGCTTACAAATGCACTCAATCATGAAATCACACACTCCTTTCCCATAGTCTGCTGTCTATTTTAGAAGTCATTTGGTAAATAAAAAATTCTTGGTGCCTTTGTCAGTTCACATTTTACTGATTATAGTATATCTTTACCAACACATATATATCTGCCCGCCTGCCTGCCTTTCTGCCCATATATAGGAAATCAATTGATTATAGATATATAATTTTGACTGCAAATTATTAGAAGAATCTCTAGGTGTGTAGGGAAGCAGAGATTGTAAATCACCATTTCTAGGTGTGAAGGGAAAGAAAGGTTGTAAAATGTATATTATTTATTTATTTGTTATCAGTTTCCCCTCATTGCTTAATGCAGGGCATTGCTTAGGGGCGCTACGTTTGGTGGTCCATGATGGTTGCCGTACATCAAGGGAACCACTGACTGCATAGGAAAGCTGATGAGGAAACACAACATACAAACCACCTACAGACCCACCAAGAAAATCCAACAAATGCTACGTTCAGCAAAGGACAAGAGGGATCCTCTCGCTTCTGCAGGAGTCTACCGTATACCATGCAGCTGTGGACAAGTCTACATAAGGACCACCAAACGCAGCATCCAAACATGAATCAAGGAACATGAAAGGCACGGCAGACTACTTCAACCAGAGAAGTCAGCCATAGCAGAGCACCTGGTGAACCAACCTGGACACAGCATATTATTTGAGAGCACAGAAATGCTGGACCACTCCAACAACCACCATGTCAGACTACACAGAGAAGCCATTGAAATCCACAGGCATATGGACAATTTCAACAAAAAGGAGGAAACCATGAAAATGAACAAAATCTGGCTACGAGTATTAAAAAACTCTAAAATTAGAACAGCACAACAACAGAGAGGAAACAAACAAGGACATCTAATCACCTTTCAACAAAAGATTACTCCA